CACTAGGTTTATATCTGGGACTCTCCACCATTTGACCTTAGAACTGAAGAAGCTTCTCGGATGAGAGGTGAAACGTCTTCAAGTAACTTAAAGAAGTCCAGACGCTTTTCTTTGCAAGCTCCTTTGACTACGATGACCTGGATGACTGAGAACCTTCACAGACATATTAGCCATTGTTGATCTGCACACAGCTGTTGTCACGAACGTCGCACTCGCTTACGTCACTGTCATGAGACATTCTCGCAAAAAAATCACGGTTTTAGTATCGCAGTAACGCAGCGTTCCTACGGGAAAGTAATCTAATTACCATTTTTGCAATAGTAATCCCTTACTTTACTTGGACTCACCACCTGTTGTATGCTCTCCAGCGCTGGCTTCCTTGTTCCACCTCGGTAATCTGCTCACTAGGGAAATCGTCAACCTGTCGCTTTGCCTGCCTGTCCTCCAAGACGCTCTTGGCAACTCAGAGAATTGTTTCTCCCACAGAAACTCTCCCTGAAGCTTCCCAGTCTGTCCTGCATGTAAGCCAACAGCACCTACTCACCTGCTCCTTTACCTGTCAGTAATTGCTTCTCCTTTTGTTGCAAAGCTCCCATGGTTCCGATCGCGACCTCTATGGACAGCCGTCCCCGTAAGCTGCCTCTGTTTCCACAGGCTCCTGCCAGACACCCTCTCTTCTTTTATGATTAGGCTTAAATCTGTCCTTTTTGATAAGGCTTAAATAAAAGGCTGAATCAGTTTACCTTGAAACCTCTCACTGCAACAGAGCTAGGCTCCTGGGGGCTTCCCATGACACACTGGGCTTTTTTTTTTAACTCTCTGTTTATACACCACTTAATCATTAATTATTATTCATCTTTGGTGCTCTTCCATTGTGTGTCTTTTGTTCTGTCTCCCTTTACTCACTTCCAACTGGTCATGGCAGATGGCTACCCTTTCTCGAGCCTGGTTCTGCCAGAGGTTTCTTTCTGTTAAAAGGGAGTTTTTCCACCCTTATCACCATTGTTTTTGGGTTTTCTTTGTATTATTGTAGGGTCTTTGTCTTACAATATAGTGCCCCTTTGAGGTGGCCGTAGTGGTGATTTTGTGCTATATAAATAAAGATATAAAAATAAGTAAATAGAAAAACTGAACTGAAAATGTGAGTTTGTCAGAGCATAATATGGGCTGTATAGGCCCAGCTCGCTTTCCTCAGGGCTGCGTTTTTTTTTTCCTCCACTGCCTTTCATTTACTGTGAGCCCCATCTGCTCTGTGCATTTGCATTTGTTTCTAATGATTGTAGAAACAAATACATAAATAAATTTAAATGCTGGACATGATACATTTGTCCTAAGTCTGCTTCCGGATGGTAAACAGAATCATGGACCTGAAAGGCATGATTTTTGAAAGTGGTGTGGCATACATTTGAATATAAACACCAGTGAGATCAAGGTGATGACTGTTGATTTTAAGAAGGGGGCTGTAACACACGCTTGTGCTTTATTGCCAAGCCGAGTGTTTTAGTGGACAGTTCTTCATTCTCACTGTTGCCTTTACAGGCTGTTACCAATTGGCACACTCAGCGTTTTTGTTTGTGTTTTGTTACACACTACTGTTCTCTCTCAGCTACTCTTCCCCTCTAGATCCCAGCGTGCTGCTCAAATCGCACAGATATGACCTGATAATAATCTCCAGCTCCACTGGCCAGCCTCCCGTGGCACTGCCTCTGAACCCGCTGCACCACCATGAACAAAACCCCAAGACAGGTAAACTCATTCACTTGGGATAGCGTCTCATACATAACGGAGACCAGGTACGTCACCTATTCCCACCTGTGAACCACAGCCTAAGAGGCTCTCATGCATTCCTTCCAGTTTATGCTGGGCAGAGTACCACTAACACTGGAGCTGGAAGTCAACAAAAACAACATCATCATCTGCAATAAGAAGAGATGAAATCCTGAGACCACCAAAGTGGAAGCCTTCTACCATTTGACTGGCACTAGAAATACTGTTCAAAATTCTGAAAAAAAAAAAAAAAATTCAGTGACGAGTTCACCCAAGATGAAGTCCAACATCCTACAGAGCCCAGAAGATCCCCAGAGGGAGTTATTCAAATGCCACAAAAATTCAGCAAAAAAATGTTGGCTATGCCAACTCCAAACTACACTGATCAAATATCATTGAGAGGAAAACAGTATTTTAGGACCAGAAAGAAACTGACATTGTTTGTCCTGAATATAAGGTTAAACTAACAGACAGCCTCTTATTACCAGTATTCTGGCAAAGACCATTTCAGTGATGCCAAGTGTGATTCCTCCTAGAGTTGGACCACACCCTGCGGTCTACCTATATAGTATATCTATATCCACAATGTTTCCAAAAATATTTGCTTGTCTGCCTTCACACATATATGAACTTGAGTGACATCCCATTCTTACTATATTGGGTTCCAACTGTTTCTGCTTTGTTATGATATCATTAACAGCTAATTTTAGAATATTTAGTAGCGACAAAATGTCACAACTGGACCTTTTGCACATCCTATCAAGGTACTATGCTGGAATTCAGCTCCCAAGAGTGACCCATTCTTTCACAAATGTTTCTAGAAGCAGACTGCATGCCTATGTGCTTGATTTTATACACCTGCGGCCATGGAAGTGATTGGACCACATGAATCCAAAGATTTGGAATTATATATGTGTGTGTGTGTGTGTGTGTGTGTGTGTGTGTGTGTGTGTGTGTGTGTGTGTGTGTGTGTGTGTGTAGAAAGACAGGTAGATAGATGCATAGATAGCTGTTTTCAAAAATACATATACATCTTCATAAATTCATTTATGTATCCTCATATTTAAATTATTTCTAATTATTTTCATATAACCATGTATTAAAATCTCTTAAAAAATATATAACTTTAAGGACAGTATGATAACCAGAAATATGGTTTACTGCCTTTTGGTAATGGAATAGAGGGTTAAGCTGTGAAATGAGCGCACTGGGTTGATTTATACAATCCATTAATCCATCAATACCTTTAGTGTCATGCATTGTTTTGTCAGTGCAGAATAATACTCTTAGCATTCCGCTGAAAGCTGATCATCCTACACCCTAAAAACTAAAACTGACATTTACTTATGGATGAGTTCCTGCCCCAAGTGGAGGAGTTCAAGTATCTCGGGGTCTTGTTCGCGAGTGATGGGAGAAGGGAGCCGGAGATCGACAGACGGATTGGGGCTGCAGCTGCAGTAATGCGGACGCTGCACCGGTCCGTCGTGGTGAAGAGGGAGCTGAGTGTAAAAGCGAAGCTCTCAATTTACCGGTCGATCTACGTCCTTACCCTCACCTATGGCCACGAGCTGTGGGTAGTGACCGAAAGAACGAGATCGCGGATACAAGCGGCAGAAATGAGCTTCCTCCGAAGGGTGGCTGGCCTCTCCCTTAGAGATAGGGTGAGAAGTTCGGCCATCCGGGAGGGGCTCAGAGTAGAGCCACTGCTGCTCCACATCGAAAGGAGCCAGCTGAGGTGGTTCGGGCATCTGACAAGGATGCCTCCTGGGTGAGGTGTTCCGGGGATGTCCCACCAGGAGGAGGCCCGGGGGCAGACACACTGGAGAGATTATATCTAACGGCTGGCCTGGGAACGCCTTGGTATTCCCCCGGAGAAGTTGGAGGAGGTGGCTGGGGAGAGGGAGGTCTGGGCCTCTTTGCTTAGGCTGCTGCCCCCCGCGACCCGGCCCCGGACAAAGCGGATGAAGATGGATGGATGGATGGGACATTTACTTAAGATTTTTGAGGCAACACTTTTACACTTAAAAATCTGTTCAATATACTTGATCAATTGAATAACTAAAGCTTAAACATATTAAGTTGAAATGAGTAATTGTAGTTGTTACACAAACATGAAAAAATTGAGTAAAGAACACTGACATTCTTGGTCAATGTAACTGAAATATAGATGGTCGGTTAATTCAAAATGTTGTTCCATTTACTTAATATTGTAAACTGAATGTAATCAAAATTGTACTTAATATTAAATATGGTAAATGGCCTGTATTTGTATAGCCCTTTGCTTAGTCCCTATGGACTGAAAAGCGCTTTACACTACTTTCAGTCATCCTGAATGTGTGTGTGAATCATTCAGTCATTCACACACTGGTGATGGCAAGCTACATTGCAGCCACAGCCACCCTGGGGCGCACTGACAGAGGCTGCCGAACACTGGCGCCACCAGGCCCTCTGACCACCACCAGTAGGCAGTAGGTGACCGAGACTGTTTTGAGCCACTGGTAGTCTAAAAACCAAACAAACTAATATGTAGTTGTGTGTTTCATAATACATGTATGAAAATGACCACATGTTAAACATTTTTCCAAATGAAAGTTTAATTTTCATAAACATGGAAATAACTCGAAATAAACAAGCACTAAAAAGACAAGAGCCTTTCCCCTTTTAGCTCAAAGCCTTACATACTTGAAGGATAAATGGCAAACCAGGACAACAAACACAAAAGCTCAGAGTATTTAAAAAACAAAATGAACAGAACAATGTAAAAGGCTCATGGTACTCAATTACTCTATATTATTGTGTTTTACTTAAACTTTTCAGTTGTAGTTGCTGACAATAAATAATATTGATTTGAATAATTAATGATTTTAGTACAGGATACTGATGAGTATAGATACCTATTTGTCAAATATTTTTGATTCAATTTTAAACAAAAATATTAAGTTCATGCAAAGAAGGTATTCTGTGAACTGCATACTGAATTTTTTTGTCTGAGATAAATGTAAATGAATACCTTAATTTAACACAAACACATACGTTAACATTTTAGACATTTATTTCAACTTATCAAACTTAAATAATTACTAAAAGGATATTCATTGATTTTATCAGGCTCATCTAACTTATATTTAAAGTGATATTTACTAAGCCTCTGAATTACTTTTTAGAGTGTAGGAGTAACAAAGAAAATAGATGTTGAAATGCTGCTACTGCAAAACAAATTTTAAAAATGCAATAATTACAATATAAACTGCGTAAATGACATGATATGATGTGAGCAGATTTTATTTTCTTTACATTTTAAATCTATCAGATGATTGGTGAATATTACTTTCCCACAGAGCAGAGATGCTCTAAAACAGCGGTCTCCAACCTTTTTTGCGCCACGGACTGGTTTATACCCGCCAATATTTTCATGGACCGGCCTTTAAGGTGTCGCGGATAAATACAACAAAATAAAACTAGTACCGGTACCGAAAAAAAGAAGATTTATTCATAACACACGTGAAAAGACCCAGGAAAACCGAGTTAACGATAAAAACAATAACAAAATAACGCTGAAAACCGATAAAAACCCTGAAAACCATACATTTCACACCTGAGCCTCAACTCTCGCGGCCCAGTACCAAATGACTCATGGACCGGTACTGGTCCGTTACCCGGGGGTTGGGGACCGCTGCTCTAAAAGAGCCTTTTTGGTGAACAAAGTGATTTATTTCTTTTTAAAAACAAACCTTTTACATGATTGCCTTATCTTTGGCAAATTAAATCCATACAAAAACGGGGTCAGCATCGGCTGACAAATGAAAAGATATATAGATAAAATGATATTGACTTCATGTGGTAACTGAGCAACAATAACGCTGGAATCAATAGACTGAAAGATGCATCCGACAAACAGGTTTGACACTGAGACGAGCTGAGGGGTGCAAGTAGTCACGGCTTTCTGCTTGTTTTCTGTGGATGTTTTTCGACAAATTGCCAAAATCTTCACATAAGAGACTGAAATAAGATTGAATGGTATGAAAATACTCACAAAGACAAAGAATATGTCAGATATAAAGCTGTGGAATGAAAGTGAACATGAAAGTCGAATTAGTAATTGGTGGTCACAATACACATTTTCAATATTATTTCCACAAAACTTCAAACTGAAGACGAATGAGAATGATAGTATTACACTCAGGAATGAATATATCCACACAAGCAGAATCATGAAAAACACTCTTTCTGTGTTCATAATGACATTATAGCGTAATGGATGACAGATTGAGATATATCTGTCATAAGACATGGCTGCTAAACTACAAAACTCAGCAGGTGCACTTGTGTACATAAAACACATCTGCAGAAAACACCACGGCACGGTCACTTCATGCCTGTCTGAAAACATCTGTGAGAGCAAAAGAGGATACAGTGATGTGCTGATGTTTATCTCATTCACACATAAATTACAAAGCAGTATATACATTGGCTCATGTAGCTGTCTGTCCACACGTATGACCAAAATAAGGACTGTGTTGGCCACACATATAGAGAGGTACCAGAACAATATTATTACAAAATACAGGTATTTTAACTCCCCAACATTTCCATAAGCAGACAACACAAATGACATAATCTCACTGGAGTTTTCCATTTTCTGCATATCATATATTAAGCAAGATAGATCTGTAATCTTATGTATGATCCTTTTAGAAATGAAAAAAAGAGTACCTGAGCAAATTGTATGATCTTTGCTTTAGGGTCTGTTTTACAAATACATGTTACCACATCATGACATATTCCTTTTCAGCAGCTGTTCCACCTGTGTTGAAATGTGCACATTAAAAATCAAAAACACCAAACAGTTTAAAACTTAAATGTATAGATTCATCAGCTTTCAATAACAGATAACATTATACTGCTGCTTCCCTCCCAGCTAAAAGCCTCTGTTAACATTTATATCTGTGGCACACAGGAGAAGAAATGAAGTGGGTGGGGCTGAATTCGATAGTCATGGTTAGAGAGGTCATTATTTCCTTTGAAAACATCAAGGGCTGCTGCTCTTCTGACGTCACTTTGCTCTGCGCATGATGCAACCTTTGGGCAAACCTTGGACTTTTGGGCGGTGCTGTCAATTTTGTTGGCTCTCTGTCATAGAGTATCACTTCCTGTTCCTGTTACAATACACAGTGGTGTTTTTTGTGTAGCCAATTTAATGAAAAACTAATAGATAGCCTGTAATTTCATGGCGTAATATTACGTGCTTCATCGAAAGCACATGCTCTGTTATTTTCACAGTATTCATTTACTGTGGCTTTAGGGATTTGCTAGCTTAGCATAGTTTGTAGCCAACTTGCTAGCAGTATGGCCTCCTCACCTGTCCCTCCTGCACCTTTCTGCTCATTTGTCTCAGATGTTTTGTTACTCCTCAGCCTCCTTTAGTATTAACAATATTTGTAATAAACATAGCCTGTTTGCGGCCCCTCAGGCCAGGATCACGGGCTTCACACTCTCGAAAACCCATAGCTAGCCAGACAGTGCAGATGAAGGTAGTGTAGCCAACGTAAAATTATAATTCACTACAGTAGTAATGACACCTGGTTACAGCAGTTGGATATCACCTAAATTAATATTGAATCGATGTTTAACTTTGCAAAACAATGTTGGATTCCAGCATTTTCTGCCCCCCCAATCGGAGCAGGAGCAACATGTTTAGTTGTATGTTCTCCTTAAATTGCTGGCTACCTGAGTGATGTCCAAACAATGACTGCCAGCAGCTAACCAGAGTTGGGACAAGGAAGCAGAGTTGACATCAAGTGGATGACATCAAGCTGTGTGCCAAAAGTGAACGAGACATCGATTCACTGATCCACACCACCATGATATACAGCAATGACATCGGAATTCCATAGAGGACAATATTTTAAAACATCTATTTATACTCATATGTGTTTAATATAATATTTTGTTTGCAAGAATAATAACATTTGCTTTCACTGAAAAAAATAGATAATCTCACTAGAAAAGAGGATATTACATGTTAAAAGTTGATTTAAAAAAAATTCAAAATGAAACAATAGATCATGTTAATGCAAATATATGAAGTCAGCAGGCTTTATTTTCTTCATGCCATGTCCACAAACAATAAGATAATTGCTGAATGTTATTCTACCACACAAGAAAGATATTGAACAAGGAGATGTATTTTCTGGTAAACAGAAGTCCTTTACATGATTACCTTTTCTAAATTTTCAAAATAAATTCTCATTATAACAAACCCATTGTTTGCATACCCATAAATGTTTTGTTTGCAAGAATAGTGCCATTAACATTTCACCAAAGGAGTTAAGAGGAAATTTGAGTCTGTAAAGAGCTTTTGCTGTATGTATCAATAAATGAATAAAATATGTCTATGAGATCATTGCTAAATATCACTCTCCCACAGAGTAGAGGTTCTCTAAAACAGTCTCTTGCTAAAGAAAGTGATTTATTTTCTTTTAAAAAGTAGCCTTTTAAATGAGTGCCTTATCTTTGGCAAATTAAATCCATACAGGAACGGGGTGAGCATTGGTTGACAAATGAGGACATACATAGGTAAAATTATACGGACCTCGTCCGGTACCCGAGCTATTAAAAACCTAAAGTCAATAGAGTGAAAAATGCAGCCAACAAACAGGTTGGACACAGAGACAATCTGAGGAGAGCAAGTAGTCACGGCTTTCTGCTTGTTTTCTATTGATGTTTTTCGACAAACTGCCAAAATCTTAAAGTAAGAGACTGAAATGAGAGTGAATGGGATGAAAATACTCACAATGGCAAAGAATATTTCAGATATATAGCTCTGGGTTGAAACTGAACATGAAAGTCTTATCATTAATTGGTGGTCACAATAAACATTTTCAACAATATTTCTGCAAAACTTCAAACCAAAGATGAAAGAAAATGAGAGTATAAAACTAACAAGTGAAAAAATCCACACAAGCAGAATCAATAAAAACACTCTCTTTGTATTCATAATGACATTATAGCATAATGGATGACAAATTGAGATATATCTGTCATATGCCATGGCTGCTAAACCCCAAAACTCAGCAGGTGCACTTATGTACATAAAACACATCTGCAGAAAACACCACGGCACGGTCACCTCATGGCTGTCTGAAAACATCTGTGAGAGCAGAAGAGGATACAGTGATGTGCTGCTGTTTATTTCATTCACACATAAACTGCAAAGCAGTATATACATTGGCTCATGTAGCCTTCTGTCCACTTGTATGACCACAATAACAACTGTGTTGGCAACACATATAGAGAGGTACCAGAACAACATTATGATAAAATACATATATTTTAAAGCTCCAATATTTGCATAAGCAGCCAGCACAAATGACACAACTTCAATCTCACTTGAATTTCCCATTTTCTGCTGAACATAAGATAGTGAACAAGATATATCTGTAAAAAATGATCAATAGTACTTTTAGATATTAGAGTACGAGATCCCAGTGGCTGAGCAAAGTTTCTATTATATCAATTAAATACTGATTTGAAAATAAATGTTGTGTCAGTATAACATATTTCTTGTCAGCAGATGTGATACCTGTGATAAAATGTGCACTCAAAGCAATCAAAGAACAATTTTATACTTTACAAAGTTCAAGATTCTAGGCTAGAGATTCATTTGAACTGAAGAATACGTGACATTGTACTCATTATACTCCCTCCAGCTGAATGAGGAAAAAGCTAACATTTATAGCTGCAGTGCAGAAAAGACTAAATGGAATGGGTGGGTCTTAACTTCAGGACCAAGGTCAGGGAGAATGGCATTCTTTCATTTGTCCAACATTTATGATGTTCTTTTAGTTTAAAAAAATTGTTATAAAATTCTAACATCAAAACATGGTTTTCATTAGTTACTACAAGTGTTCAAAACTGCAGAGAAGATAACTTAAATAACTTGTGTGAATGTTAAAGGAAATTCAAAATTTTCTCTACAATCCTATCTCATCAGCTGAACAGTCTACCACCACAACTACGTTTGGTTGAATGATTCTCTTTAAACAAGTCTTCTGTTGATTTTTTTTTAATCTTAAAACTTTCATTTACATTTAACCTTTTGTATTGTCTATATATACTATTTTGGTGCCTAATGCTTTGTTTATTTTAGCCTTTGTGTATAGTGCTGTGTGACTGCTTGTCTATGAAAAGGGCTTATTAAATAAACCGTACTTAACACTTAGGAGCTGTCTTGCATACTGGAAAGTACACCTCTCTTTCTCCTTTCTCCTGCTTTCGGCATATTCAAATTTGCTCTACACTCTATAGCCTGAACAGACTCTTTTTTAAAAACTCCTTCCATAGAAGTTAAAGGCCTGGCTTCTACTCAAAACATGGGGAAGCAGGGGTTGAGAAGTGTTGTGGTGTGATGAATGTGCAGCTGGCAGCTTGTGAGCTGCAGCCGTGGTAAATAAAATGGCTCAAAATAAGGATCTCTGGACCTGCCGTGTCTCTATCACACCACAGTGTGTTTACTATGATGCTACCTTCAGAGGCGCAGACTGCCTGCCATCAGCAATACTGGATCCTCTTATCCATCCATCTGTCATGATCCGGAGTTTGTGACTCCGTGTTTATGTTTTAGTAGTTATTATTCTGGGTTTTGTTTTCATGTTCCTAGAGCTGGGCGATAGAACAATAACGATATGTATTGCGAAATAACTTTTCCTCTATAGAAAAGTTAAACTATTGCGATAGGTCTCGTCTCTCTTGTCCTCTTAAAAAAAAAAAGAAGAACAACAGCCAATCCAAATTAAGTAGCGCAGAGCTGAACCAATCACAGCCGCAGCGTCACGTCACGTGACTTGTTACGTGCCGCACATGTGTATTTGTTTGGGAAGCAACCAGCCGCTGTGCCGCCCGGTAATGGAGGAAATGAGTGCGCCGACTAGAGAAAGATCAACCGAGCGTGACCGAAGGTTACCGAAGACAAAACAGATGATGGTTCCAACGCCGGAGAGATTGTCGAATGGAAGAGCCACAGAAGTTCCATAGTGTGAAGGTATTTCGGCTATTTCAAGTCTGACAAAAACAGAGTAGCGCGTGCCGAAAGCAAGTCTGGAAATACAATAAAGCGGTGCATGCTCAATCTCTGACTGGAAGTGCTAATTCGTCATTCGGCTTTTATCAGACTAAAGTAACTGTTTGAAAAGCTAAGCTATACAACAAGGAGAGAGTGAGAATTTCCTTTTAGTTCTCATTTTATTTGATATTGACAAAAGTTAGTCAATTTTGTCTGATCTTCTGTAAAACAAACAAAGATTTATTTTTAGAATTAATATTTTGTTTCTAAGTGGAATTGACAATTAAGTAGTCTGTTTTGTTTGTTCTATTTTGAAACTTAAACGCTTCAGCGGCTGCCTTTTGTGTAGTTTGCCATATTTGCCTTTATTTATCTGAAAAAGTCTCATGTTCCTTAACCCTTTAAGACCTACCATAGAACCAAGTCCGCCAGAGCTTATGTCATATTTTTTACATGCTGTGGAGCCATTTTTGGGAGCATTTCAAGTTAATAATATTAATTATATATGTATTCATTAGGTGCATAGTAATTACATAAATTGCAAAAAAGTGCAATAAACTACTAAAAAATTGAAA